TTTCATGTTAACTAATCGTAACAAATGATAAACTTAAGTAAATGATTTTTATTTTTCTAAGTCGTTTTAAAATACTATAAGTACCTAGTACTATTAGATTCGTTTTTAAATACATCATAGATCAACAAACGACGTGTTATAAAATAATAAAACAAAATAAGAATAAACTCAATAACTTATAACAATTCTTATTAAATGTTCGAATAAAAATTATCATAATATATTATTATATCTTATAATATCACTATAAATTTTGAGCCATATGTTTGTAAATAACGTTTTATTTTTATTTTTCATCGAGTTCTAAATTGTAATTTACTAAATTAAATAATTTATCTTTTTTTATCCGCCAATATTTTTAAGCACGTCATACAAGTAAAAAATAGGCAGAGAAATCAATTTGTGCGGATTATGCATACTTCAGAAATGTTTCGGTCCTAGTTGACTATGTAGATGGGCCAATCGGGGCACGCCGTGGGGGGAGGGATGGGGAGGGGCGACCCTCCTCCGACTGACACCACCTCTGGTATCTGTAACGGACGAAATAAACATGTAAGACTGATCAACGGGATGTAATCCCGCCTCTCGTTCTAATTATTACGGCTTCTGTATAAACAGGACGGTTAAGTAGCTCCAGGGATAGCTGACTGTCTTGGAAACCCAATGAATTTAATTAGAAGAAAAAAATAAGGAGTTAGAATTATAATATTGCAGTAAGTATTGTATTGTTTGTAACGAGAAAATATAAAATCTTCATTAACCCATAGGTATATGCCCTGTCACACAGTGGGTTCTTTTTGACCCGTAAACAGTTTTTGGAAAACATGTGAACAGAAACAACGTCAAAATAAGAAAGAAGGAAAAAAAATAGTAAATTATTTAACCATACGGTTAAGTTACTTGCTTTCACAGGTGAGACAAGTTAACAAAATTAAATGGTACCTGTATCTATTTTCGGTTTATTTAACCTTTAACTCGCAATAAAACATACTCAAACATACGCGTACCGGAAAACGCAGCGTGGGACGTCCACCTACAAGGTGGACCGACGATATCGTAAAGGTAGCAGGGAAGCGCTGGACGCAGACCGCTGCCAATCGATCAACATGGAAAGCATTGGGGGAGGCCTATGTTCAGCAGTGGACGTCCTATGGCTGAAATGATGATGATGATGAAAACATACCATGGTCTGCGGATGATGCGGCGGGTGATAGTAGTGCGCCGGCGACACCGGCGGCGTGGGATACCCCCAGTAGAGCAGCGGCGGCGGCGGCGGCAGCGTTGGACCCATCGACGGGTAGTAGTACGTCAGCGGACCTGTGAGGACGGCTCGGTCAGCGGCGAAGGGGTTAAGCGTCCACGCGGCACGGGGAAGGGCGTAATCGGATTATGGGGTTCACGTTAACGTACGATAAAAAGATGTACTCATAAAACTTAAAACAATGCCTCTGTGGCATTAAAAGAATATTTTTTAAAAACTCAAAAAAATCTACTGCGTCAATTTGGAGTTTTACAAGAACAAGAAGATATAATATTATTGCTAATTTTCAAACACAAACTCGATAGTTCTTCTTGTTTTTCTTAGTTTTTTTATACCAAATTTTAAAATGAACCCGATTACGCCCCTTGCTCATCGTGCTATTTAATAACAAACTGTTAATTACTTCACACGTCAAAACAGCTAAATTAAACTAATACCAGAAGGGTTTAACAGTAATAAGTCGAATGAAAATTACATTTTCAATAATAGTTAACTAACTACGATCAGATTGGTCGTATAAAATACGCATTTCTTTTTGGTGATAAGTGATATTTTTTGTTATTGTTTAAGATAGCAAACCCATTTTATACATACATAGTTTTAGTACCCCGAAAATGATGATTTTATCAACTGAACATCGTATGCAGGTCATGCCAGTATTGGTTAGTCACATTTTAAGTAAAAATAGGAACATAGACTTAAAAGAACTTAGAAATTTTATATAGCATTGCTATTATGCCCGCGTAATAGTATATGCAAATCCCCATACATTACATGAAGTATCGTGTTTTAATAGTGAATTATTTGACGTGCCCGATCGGGTACATAGTTTAGTCAAAGCTCTATTCAACTAACCACTAACGATACAAGGATGGACAACACAATATATAATGTAGTTAAATAATTAAAAACAATATGAACACTCACCAGGGTCTCAGAACGCAATAACAGATCACCAAAGCAGTGCGCAACTTACACCAAAATCATGTTTGTTACACACGGTCGCCAGTCGCCGCCAACACCAAGCTGCGGACTTTACTAAACTTATGCTTGCCTAGTACCCTAGTACTTTAGCACCATTGTTGAGACTTCAAATTCTATGAAAATAAGTCGAAATAAATTGTTGAGCCATCATTAGCCATGCATTGTTGACGAAAACATTTTAATCTGTTATTGTAACATAAGGGAAAGCTTGCTTTTAAAATTTACTGCCCATATCAAATCACCTGCCACAGATATGACGAATTTCCTCAATAATTGATTTTGAATATTACCTCCTAAAGACAAAGTTCAAAAACCTTTGGAGAAATTCGTACTTTTGTGGTAGATTGATTTGCCATTGACTGCATATTAATAAGTCTTCGAAAAGAATTTGAAGTCCCAAAGAAATAAATGCGATAATCAAGAGTAAGATAGAGCTTAAATATCACGTGATCCCAACAATGATAGGTAAATTATACTTACGTCTCGTTAACTGATGATTAACTGGACCACTAAACATCCCGCTAAGTGGGCGTTAAACCTTAACCCATGAGACTCCGCTAAGTTAAGCACAAAACAGTTGTCTACGACACACTAAGCTTAATTTGCCTCCCGGTACAAGTTTCTGTCACCTGTAGTTTCCATGCAGTTCAAGCGGAACATGAAGAGTTTTAAGTATTGACGCGTAACTGACTAAAAACATGCGTGTGCGCACTTGACAGAAGAATTAATGGAAATTAGTTTCATTTTTATTTATCCAAAGTCCAAAAATATTTATTACTTTTAACTTGGTGTTTTAAAAGGGTTAAGAAATAAACAAGGAATATTAGAAAGAGAATGCAATTTTTGCAGCTAGATTTTGTATGGACATTTAAATATTTTGCTGTCTTAACTTGTTGTTGTTTTAGCCGAAAGACGTCTTACGTTATAACATTTAATAAAACTTAAAAGCATTTTTCATAAGTAGTTTTAATAATTTCCTGTCAAATGCGCATAAGTGAATCATAATTTGAAAACAAAAAACAACTCAAAATCGAGTTAAACATTTCCAATTTCCAAACCATGATTAGCAATAACTTTTCTAGTCGTTTAATCGTCAAAAAGTGTTATTTTAATCAGAATCTAAAGCAAGTTGTGCTTAAGTGATACTGTACTGTTCCCTTCGTAGTAATATATATCAGTAATATCGGCACATGATCTTAATATTGATGGTGTAGTTCAGGGATGGCGAACCAATGGCACGCGAGCCATTATTGGCACACATTTTATTTCACTATGGAATAAAATATTAGAATCAAAAGATTTTTATGTAGCAATATTAAAGTGTTTTACATGTAGTGTTTTAGTCGATATAATTTAGTATTAAGTATTATGTGACAGCACGTATGATACATAAAGGTTCGCCACCCCTGGTGTAGTTAATAAGCTAGGTGAAAGGATGGGATCAGGAGAGCAATGATTGTGCTATATTATCGTTTTAACCTTGTGAAGGAAGGTTATTCCAATAGTTAAGTACATATTTCGACCTGGGGAGAGTGTGCTTTGGGTGATAACGACAGATTATGTAGGTGAAAACATTTGTATGTGCCAATTTCTGACTGAAAAGTTTTTTGTTTTTACAGACCTGCCTTTACCAATGTATATTTTTTATGTTTCTGGAGCTTACGTGTTTCGACTAAAATAATAACAGATAGAGATAAGTTGTGCAAATAAATCATCCCTAATTTGTATGATACACAAGTCTTTAAAAGACAAATCGACAAAACTGTGAACATAAATAATCATTATTATTGTGAAAGACGAGCGATTTTTGTTTCTAAATCCCAGTTTTAAAAACACATTTTCTATGGTTTTATTTTCAGTGCAAAGACTAAAGAATAGTAGGTACCTAATTGAAAATCGTGCATTTTCCCGGGAAAAATCCACTAGTTTCAAGTTTCAACTTGAAATTAAAGTGTAAATATATCCTTTGTTTTTGATAACCTTACATAACACCCTGTTTCAATACAAAAAATAAATAACGACAGATGTAAATAAACAAAATAATAACGATTGTCATACAATCACACGGACAGTGACTTACCGCGCTTACATAAATGTTACGTAATAAAACTTAACTGTAGTTTATAATAATACATACCGCTTAACCGCGAAGTAGTAATTGTACGTAAACATAATTATATCCTATAATATGTAGACGATTCCCGTGAAATACAAACCACTTTGAAATAGAGAAAAATAATAAATTCGATCTTTTCTCGAGACAAATAAAACAAATGTCGAGCATTATAATGAATTATGTCGAATAATAAAGTTATTTTTCACTCGAGAAAAGTTCGATTTCAACATTTTTCTGCGTTTCGAGAGGATCTATTCCGCGAGAATCGCCCCTCTGACCCTATAATGCCCACTCACCGAAGTGAAGATGTGTTAGTATACATTTAGGACGAAACTGTCGACAGGAGGCGTTAGTGAACCAGTCCTTCACAAGGCCTGCAAGCTAAAGCCCGGTCTCCGAGCACGTAGAATTTTGTCCAATGACCACAAGCTACCCATCCTTATCACTCGCGCGTAATTATGTTGCTGTCGCGTTCGCACACTCACTGCGGGCGCTCGTCGCACAGTCGCGACAGCAATATAATTACGCGCGAGCGATAAGGATAGGTAGCTTGGGGTCATTGGACGAAATTCTACGTGCTCAGCGACCAGACTATAGACGATAGATAGCACAACCACCACACCAGAGAAACTCTCAATAATTTATCTAACACGATTATTATCGATTTATTTTCAAGTACGCAATAAACTATCATTAGCCAACTAATATAATTATAATAAAAACTCATCTAACAAATGGAAATCAAAAGCATAGACGATTTGCGGAATGATCAACTTAAATACTAAGTTTTAGAATAACTGACACGGCCGGTAACACCACTGAGGCGAAAGTTAAGTAGACACCAAACAAAATTCCTTGCATTATTGTTGTGTTTAAAACCTTGTCACATTCACTTTTGAGCATTTATAGTACGTCATACGTACTGTACACTTAAAATGTAATGAGACAAGGTTTTAGCTGAAAATTTTGAACGCATCCTATTTTTGTTTTGCCTAAAAGTGAAAATCCTCACACCACCCCGTCCCCCAGTCGCTAAAACATAGATGTTTCAATTAATTCTGTGCATGAAAAAAATGTTTTTTGGCTAATTGATAGTCATGTCTTTGCGTTTTAAAAGTTTTGTTTTAATGTAATAGATTTATCTGTTACATTAATAAAAAGAATGATTTGTGTCGATCATAAATATAAAACCCTGTACCTAAGTACCAATATTAAATGACCCAAAACATGCACAGAAAACATTGAAAAATCAAATCTATCGGTTTCTCGAGACATAGAGGAATAATAAAGCGTAAAGAATGCTTCAGAAGAGCGTAGAAGAAGAAGCTGTGATATAGCGTTAACCACTGGGGGACTACACGGTTAACCCGGACCAAGTTCCGTAATGCTAATTTTGGACGACATTTTTTTCTTTTTAATCTATGGTGACAGAATTTAACGGCCAGGTACCTTTTTATCTGTGGTGAAGTAATGTAGGATGGTTGCTCATTTTTTTTTGTTGCCAGAACAAAAATATGTAGTCCAAAATTCGCACAGCGCATCAAGTTCAGCTAAACTGTGTACATAATCGACAGTAACATACAATTTGGACGTAGAGTATCCGGCCGCGGTGTGCTCTGGAAAACGTAAGCTGAGACCCGCTTCGCGGCCATGCAATAAGATACCTTAACGCGTATAAAATAAAACTCAAGCGCCATGCTAAACCCCGTTACTTTTATCGTCCATTTTTAAAACTGGCAACATATGCGACACTTACCGTTTGTACCACGCATGCATTTTCCATAACACAACCCGTTCGGATACACCAAAATATTACAACACTTTTATTATTACCATTAATTGACATTATATTAAACTATATTATAGTCAGTACCTTTGACAACAAGATATACGCAGTTGTCAATTTCAGAACCAGTTTGGAATGTAAAATCAGAGGGAATTAAAAAGATTTATGTGTACTAGAATTTTAGTACTTTGTATGTCTACTGAAATTAACATTTCAAACCGGTCCCTGTGGATATATTTAGAAAATGACAGAACATAGATTAGCCTTTATACCGTGTTTGTGACTATAAGCCCCCATACCTATATTTGTGAATATCAGACAATGGCAACACCATAACAATGACGTTATATTTTAAAATAGTTTCTATAGTTCCATTAAACAATTCACCCAATTTGAATGCGTTTTCTCAGACCATTTTGGCTCGGGAAGCTTGAAGCGGTAAGATATAACTATATTACATATAGCATAATATATAGCTGCGATTTTTAAATATATTTACGATTTATATTAGCTGCGAAGTAAAAATAGTCTTTCAAAGCGCATCCAAAATCATTTTATTTAATGCCAACATTACTATTTCTATGTGGTGTGAGGTAAAATATTTGACGATGACGTTAAGCTATGTGATAAATATGCGTTTAGACAGTTTAGTTGTGAAACTAAGTACACATGAGGTTCGGGATCAGAGGACATAGGAGGTGCCAACCTGTGCCATTACTTAACATTAGCTGCACTTCAGCAATACGAAAATATGTATATCAATTCCTTAAATTACTTCATTTGCAAACGCAATCAACAAACAACTACAAAAACGCATAACTACAATATAAAATATAATAAAAAAGACGTGTATATTAACCACAAAAAGTGCATTGTACTCAAAATAACTCAAAATTAAGTACCTAATCAATAATTTCCAAAGCGAAGTACTGGTCATCGTAAGTACTTTGCTTTCTCAGACTTAAAATCAGCCTTGGGAAATTGGCAATGTTGTCTTTTAGCTAGTGGAATGTTTATACTTTAAAAATCACAACGACGTAAATGATCACACGATTCTAGATCATAAGAATAATATGTATATCTAATATTTCATATATCTACTGTCATCGATTAACAACCTCAAGTTCACTTAATAAATAAAAAATAAGACGATAATTCAACAATATTAAAGTCAGTAAAAATTCAACAAGAAAACCGTAAGCGATCTCTTAACCTACAAAGCTGCCGTTCAATACGTAAATTCGCGTAAAGTATGTAAATAAGGAACGGTCGAAGGCACGTCTCAGTGTCAAATTAGCTTGTCATTTCATTACCCTGTTAGAATTCGACTACGAAAAAATTTAGCTCGCCCAATAGTCAGGCACCGCGGTGTTAATGTTAGTTCATTCAATCTACAGTTAGACTCCAGGGTAGTACGGGTAAGTGGGGAACATGGATAGAGTGGGGAAGGGGGTGCTCATAGTGGGAAGAGTGGGGAGAGACCCGTACCCCGCGGGGAGAGCCGTGGGCATCGCAGTGGGGAGACTGGGGTACGTAGATAGGACCGGATTGGTGTTGGCGTAGGAGAAAATGGGAGCGGAGGTGGCGTAGGAGAGCATAGGGAGGGATAGCGACGGAGTCATTTGTTGAGGGACGGTGTACTGTCGTTTGGCGGGGGTTTGGTCGGTTTGGACTTGGAAGGCGTGGTCGTAGGAGCGTTTTGTCGGGAGGACTTGTTGTTGGGGGATGAGGTGTTGGAGGGGGTGCGGGGTGGGGGGTTGGGGGCGGCGGGCGTAGGGGAGGAGGGGGACGAGGGGGGGACGGAGGGAGGCGAGCAGGAGGCTTTCGTGTTGTCGCGCGAGCAGGCTCTGCTGCGCTATGTGGTGTGCCAGCAGACGTGGCGCCGGCGCGGGCGCGGGGGCCAACGTACCGGGCGAAAGCACCTTGGGCGACGTCGCGGGGGTCACGCCGCCCGTCAGCACCAGGTTCATGTCGTCCCCGGAGCACTGGAACACCTGGTAGAGGGGGCGGGGTCAGCTATGCCGTCTTTGGTGACGTGTGCTTCTAATACGAGTTGTGGAATGCTAATTCCTACGTGATGTGCTTGAAAAGTTAGAAAATTCGATTTTCATTCTCAAAAGGACTTTATGCAATGAAAATAATTAATCGCTAGAAACAAATATTATTCCAACAATTGTCATAAAATAACTACTCTTCAGTATCAGCAACACGTATTGAACTAATTCTAAATATCTCATTAAAACCTTCACCAAATCACTAAAGCTTTCGTTACGCAATTATTAAACACATTCTAATAGATAGATAGATCTAACTAAGAGCCAAAGCACACGTTGCGTTGCGGCGGCGCACTGCAAACATTTCGCCGTATCGCGCGACAACGCATCGCATCGTGTGATATGGCTCTAATAGTCCTCATCCGAATAAAGGACGTCGCACATTTATTAACCCAAGGGATCGTAACCGTATCAACTCGAGGCGGTCAGTATTCTTTGTATGAAAATCCATACTGCAACGCACACTTATCGGCACCGTAACATAAACGCCTCGCCTCGCAATTGACAGCGCGCGAAAGGCGATGACAGCTCGGTGTTGATCCCTTTGCGAGTTGATAAGTCTGCTATGAGCTTAAGGCCTCAGCCTCGAGTTTAGCGGGCAGTGGGGCGGGAGCGGCGGCGGCGCGGGAGCGGCAGGAACTTATGCGTAAAATCAAGTAGACCGGTTCTCGAAAACAGCGGCGCGGCAGCGGGGCGGGAGCGGGCAACGAGCGGGCAGCGCACTCCTTCTTTTGCCCACAATAAATCGAGCGTTAGGAATAAATTTGCATCGAAATAAAATTGTCGCCGTTGTTCAGACATTTCGTTTGCGAATAAAAACAATCTCGACAACACAACCCCGAACACAACACTTCACCGCTAAAGCGCCGCGCGAGCTGCCCGCTTGTTTCGAGAACGGGTCTGCGTTGCCCGCCCCGCTGCCCGCTAAACTCGAGGCTGAGGCCTAATAGATCTAACTAATGGTTATCTCCAAATATTATTCTTACCTCGATGTACCGCTGCTTCTTTCCGAAGGTCATGTACCGGTGGTGTTTCTGCTGCGCACATAAATACGCACTGGCTTCGCTGTCCATCTGGATGAAGGCTTCGCCACTCGGGTGACCCTGGGTGTAAACAATATTAGTCAAATGTCAAGTCATTATTTTGGGGAGGCCTTCGTCCAGCAGTGGACGTCACTTGGATGAAAAAACCCGAACGAAGTCATTATTGCCATTTGAGATTGTGAAGATAGCCAGCATTTACCGCTCCTTGACTCAAGTGTCGTCCGTTTAAGACGCATTTTAGAAAACTGCTATTCCAGGCGAGAAATAAAAGGGTTCGGCCAATTCGCGGTACGGCTAGCACGAAAAACTTTCGAGTTCAAATCGTTTGCGTACTCGAATCGCCATCAAAAGATTTAGTAAGAAAACTACAACAGCGCCCTTATGAACGTGTCGTAAAGTGAACTTAGTATGAGATGTGGTTGCACGAAACTTATTTTGAGAACCAAAATTGTCACGTTATCGTTTAATTCGAAGATTGAGTATCGAATTTTATCGAGTACGCAAACGATTCGAAGACGAAAGTTGTTCATGCTAGAGGTACCGGATCTCGAATTGGCCGCCGATTCGAACCTCATCGTTCGGTGGACTATTGTGGTGGACTCATGTATGTCGAAGAACAACACTCAGAAGGAGAATACGATAAGTAGGTACTTAGCTTAGCTAGAGGGGTTAACAGAACTATTAGTAATTAGTGCAAGATTATTATTACTAAAATTCTTCTTTAAAAAAATCAGATACCTGAGCGTTGAAAACCATGTGGACTCCTTGCACCACGATGTTCTTGGCAAACTCGTCCAGGAAGGTCAGTATGTGTTCCACCTACAACACAGATTAATATTATTACAGTATTTAGTTAAGCAGTAGTGCTCACTGGTTGCTTTGGTAATGCTCAACAAGTTGAGATTTGTGTTAGGTAGGGGTTACTTTTGAACACGATTTTTTTGAGGAACTTACCATTTAGAATCAATTTTGATATATCCCGGATGCTTGTAACAAAAAGCGCTAAGTATTAATTATATGGAGTAACAAATGTCGATTATTAAGTGAGGAGTTAGTAATAATGTACAAAATGATCAAATGATACCGGTAGTTATTAAAAAAAAATGACTTGATATTTGAAATCAATCATATAAGTATGTAGGTACTCCCGAGGGCCTTGCGCCTTTATTCTTAGCGATAGCAACCCCTAATGACTTTGAAACTCTTAAGGTACGATGCACATTGACCGGCGCGCAGCGGAGCGCATTAACAATAGCGTTAACGTTTTATTAACAGTTCTTAGAACTGTTAATAAAATACTATTTCCTTTACGGCCGTGTAAGTGCGCTCCGACGCGTGCCGGTCAATGGGCATCGTACCTAACTAGACTCTAGAGGCTCTTGAGTGACGAATATCTTGCGAAACCTGGATTTCATGTGTTTCTACCGTTCTCTAAGGACTCCCTAGCACCCCCCCTGCCATCTCACTAGTCTCAAGCGTTCCCTAGAAACTCATAATGGGTCAATAGCGCTCCAGATTGCCTCACGAGTCTCAAAATATCCCTACACTGACCTGCGCCTCGTAGGGCAGGCCGCGCAGGCGCACGCAGTCCTTGGCGGTGCCGGAGGTGATGACGTGCTGCGGCACCAGCGCCACCGGCAGCAGCCCCTCGGCGGGCGCGGGCGCCGCCGCCGGCGTGCTGGCGGTGCTTGTGCGAGTCTCTAGCGACCTCTAGCGTNGGCTGCGGTCTCCTATTAAAACTTTTTACGCGGCGTACGACGTCAACGTCAAACGTTCCTATCGATGCCATACGCCGAGGTCAACGTCTGGAAGAGACCAAAACGGTATATTTCTATAGTCAACATTGTGACGCGGCATATGACGTGACGTTTATTAAGACCTCAGCCTGAATATAGAAAATAAATAAATAGAGAATTTTCTTAGCCTAACCCGTCTGGCCAGCGCATGGGAACTGTAGGCCAAAACCTCCATTTGCCTAGAAAACATTAAGCGGGTCATGCTACTGTAGAGGAAACGACTTACTGAACCTTTGTTGGTCAGCACCTGTCATCCGCTTTACAATGGAGGGAAGTCGAACCTGATTAATTTTGTTGCGGGTCCAATGACAATTTAACTTTCCCCCGGCACAGACTTGACCTTCACTGGTTGGGTTTCTATTGGCGGTCAAGCTGTAGATTCTAGCTTCACAGGAGTTGCAGCGGTGGGAATAGTCCCGTTAGAGGAGACGAAATGACCTGATTATGATGATGATGATGATGAAAAACTAATCTACTCATATAAAGCATGTTTTGGTCACGGAAGGTTTAGCTTCACGTTTTTATCTGTACATACCTTTCGCAATAACATTCCTTTAACGTTTTATCGGCACGAAATCCTATTAGATACCAATACATCTGGCATGACAAATAAATTGCGATCGGTTTCTCCGAAGGGTCACTGATCGATCATTACTTAGGCCATCTGTATCAGGTTTCTTAGGGAAATTAATTTTCTCTTGCGACAAACAAAATGAATGGGGTTAATAAGGAAATGATATAAAAAAATAATGCGCACAGAGAAAAATATTTGGGCTTATAAGCAATAATAATATTTTAAAATATTTATGTTGGTTTCTCCAGTGTCAGAGTTTTATAAACGTCATCATTATTAGGTCATTTTAGTATCCACTGCAGGAAATTTCTTTTTTATTTACCTACCAGAAGCAAAGGGAGGATTTAGCCAACACTCCACTGTCTTGCTGACAGGACTATTCCCACCTCTTGTTCCCACCACCGCACCTAGTTGAGAAGGTTTTTCAAAAGTAGGTATAATTTTCATTTTCAAGTCTTCGTTTCTATCGTTGTTTGTATAGATTTCTAACAAAACCACAAAGCCTTTGGGATCTTAGTTTTCTTTCAATGAAAGATCTTTCAAAGTTGGAGCAACAGTTCCAGAGATGAATGATGACTTACATTTATTTTAAAAATAACCGCTGCAATATTTATCTTTTTCATCTATAAATGCTGTGGCATAAAATGTATATTTTCAACATTTTGTTTCCTTCTGTTGAGTATATGATGCTATCTCAGAAAATTTATTTATGACGTCATCACATTTTACCAAAACCTATTTTCCATCAAAAATATTTCATAAATTACTGTGGACGTGTTCTGGAAACTTCGCGCGTTTATCTTAAAACGCTATTACGTCATCCATATAAGTAATTAACGTCTAAGTCCCGGCGACAACGTCCTATCTCGTTTGGTCAAATCTGATTGACGTAGGACTTTGCCAAATTAAAGACGTAATTAAGGAGAGTCCTTGAGTGGAGGCCGCTGAAGATTTTCGTGTGCTTGATTGATGTTGCTATGCGGAGGGAAATCGATTTAGGTTAGTGTGGAAATAGATCAGGAAATGGATACTGAATTTTCAATTTAGTCCTTGTACAAGTTTTACTAAAGGTGAGTTGCACCACCTTACTTTAATCGTGACTATAACCATAGTCGGTGTTTTTTGTATGAAATTCGACAGACTTTTGACTTTTGTTAAAGTTGCACCATCTTACTACAATAACAAACGGCAAACATCTGTCATAAAAAACACACAGGTAAGTGGTGCAACACAGTTTTAGTATTGGTGTTTTTGACTACGAGTTTCAAACAAATATAATTATGCCTACATAGAGTGTGTAGTAAAAGACTTATAACTTAATAGGTATTCATTAGACATTCTACAACCTACGCAAAACGGTAATATTCGTAGTAAACATAAAATATAATCAAAATTAGGCAGCAATACTTATAAGCTTACTGTTTTTCAAACATACGCCTACTTATTTATCGTTCATGTAACACAAAGATTTACCTTTCACGATGTGGATTCATCAAAATAATGTAAATTTGCTTTAAAGTATTAAATCTTCACTTTGATCGTAAGTAGATAGATAGATATACAGAAGACGTAAAAACTCTCAAATAAAAAGTAATTGAATCCAAATCCACAATAAACATAAAATTACAAGATCTTTTTAGTAACGATTCATTCAAAGACCCATCAGATCAAGGGAAGGAATAAAAGAAATGAAACCCTGAACAAATAGATTCGAATGGGGGTGGACTCAATAAAAATCCTATACCAAACATTGGTAATAAACGACTTAAATCCGAGGTTCGGTGGTAGCAAATTTACACACTGCTCGCGGACTGAATACAAATGCGTAACGTTATCATAAGAGCACTTACAAAAGACAAAGCAAGCATTTTCCGATAGGCTTGTAATTCGAATTAGTATTAGCAGGCACGTCACGTAGCTGAGGTAACAGGCGTTATCATTTTTCTGTAATTCATCCAGTCGAGATTGGATACTAGGGATGTGCTTATCAGATGCGAATTTAGACAATGTTTTACGAATAAATTGTTTTTGGGTCGTATGGCTAAATTTTAAACGGAGATTATGAATCACTTTTTGAGTAGCGTTGCAGATAATATTTAAATTTTTAGGATTTATGTTGATAAGAAAGACTTCGTTGTTTCACAAAAGACAGTTCTTGTCAAAGCTTTGGATAGTAATCTAAATTGACGTTTACTTGAAGCTTTTTATGCACAAAACTTTTTACAAAGAACAATCTTGCGAGTATTGCAATAAGAACTGATAATTTTTTTAATTGGTTTTGGTGAGAAATAAAACACTGAATAGTTTGTACTCTACTGTGAGCTTGGACACAGCCGGCTTGGTAGTCGGACCAGTAATGACCGCTCCCTGCCCCGAGGGTCGGTCGAGACCGTTTGGTTCAACCGCAGATCACAAAAACTAAAGGAACATGTCGCAGCAATATGCCCAAAAACAGAACACATTGCTCGGGACAGCAATGTGCCATGCAGTTGACGTTTTAAGTATAAACAACTGAATGCAATGTGTGCATGAAACACACTCTTCGCGAAGTATTGTTTTTATTTTGATTATCTTGTGTGTGAATTTTTAACGCGACACTGTGTTTCGAACTCATCTCATTGGTTGGCATCTCTCTAGATCTCTATGGGTCCAATTTATTTATTTATTGATAGGTACGTTACAGGATTTGATAAAAAGTGTGTGTACATCCCTATCAGAAACCAAATTGGGTTGATACCTCGTAAGATAAACACGTGCACGTCTCACGACTCCATAACCAATTACGGTGCTTTGACGTACTTTGCCTTTTAAGTGGGGGCTAAATAGGCATAATAAAAAGCAATTTCTAGGCATATCGCTTTAGCTGGCTGGGTATCATTGAAATTTATTCAATTTTGAAATATTTGATATCTGAAAAATTAAAACAAAATGGAAAAAAATGGGTAAAATCTGATGAAGTTGTGGATTTTTGATCTTGTGACAGAGTTTTTAAATATTAATTAGAAATTAAATCATTTGCGATAGGTACTTATCACGTGTAATTAGTTACAAATTATTTTTAACCTAACTAATGTTTTGCTTTTGGTAACTTTTAGTAACAAAATAACGGAATATTACTTTTATTTCACATTTCTGAAGCACAAAATTAAGGCGTATCGCGTTAGATGAAAAATGTATCCTTCAAAAATGATAAAAATTGTAACCAGTCGCATAAACGTCAACATTGAGTTTATTTATAATCGCTGAAAACGTTGCTTTTCGTGAAAAATTATCTCTTGACAAGGGTAGACGTGTCATTTTCCCCCTAGCAACCGCAAGCTACCAAGGGCAGTCAAAATTGATTTTTAAATTGTGTAGACTTGAAGGAATAAGAGAGAAAGTGGGATGGAGTGAATAAGCTTTTATTTGTCTTCGGAAAATCCACAGTTATGAGTTGGAGATGACTATTCTATTCGTATCAATGTTAAAGTTTGTGAATATCGGATTTTTGTTACTCTTTCAGGCAAAAACTACTAAACAGATTTTTAAGTAAGTTTCCAGTATTTATTTCTTTATGGCTATAAATTCATAATGCTCTGTGTCAAACTGAAATAAACGGTGAAGCCGCGAGCAAAAGTTAGTATAAAATAAATTAAACACATTAGAAATACTACGATACTTAAATAAAAACAGTATGTTTACGTAATTTACAGTATAGATGTGACGATATTTCCACAAATGTAGAGAAGTATCACGTTTTGATATCTCATTAAAAATTTGTCAACTTATTGGTGCTGCCAATTACCTGATTTCACAAAATATTTTTTTTTGCATCCTCACAAATAGCTCTAAAATTGTTGTGCCCCTACAAAATATTGGCAACCTCATTATGCTGGACACATCGGAATAGCATTGTTATCTCTAATTTACTTTCGATTCGCAGCTGCGCCCGCGGTTATGCATAGAATGTATTGCACATATTTTTTGATTCTCGGTCGGCCATTATTACGTCATACACATAAATTTTGTAAAATAAATAACGCGGTTCATCGAATACATAACGAATATAAAAGTTATAGAACTTTTACGATAAACCTAGTAAACTTTAGACTGGGAAAAAGTATGGACCTCAAGCTGAAAAATCTAACTTATTTTAAGTTAACATTTTTTCACTTTCATACATACTTTAGAATTTATACATATTTATATCCATTCAAAATTCGGCCTAGACTACTAGATAATGAATAGAAAAGTAGATAGATAGGTTTTTAGAACACACTACACAATAATTGAAACTACACAATTTAGGAGATGTTATGTTTGGAAAAAAACTCATTTATTTCTGTAAATAGGCTTAAAAAA